AGGACTGACCCCTGGGGAACACCAGTAGCCAAAAACCTCCAGCTGGCCTCTGCACCGCTGATCACAACCCTCTGAGCTCTGCCATTCAGACAGTTCTCAATCCACCTCACTATCCACTCATCTAACCCACATTTCCCAAGCTTACCTGTGAGGATATGGTGGGAGACAATGTCAAAGGCCTTGCTGAAGTGGAGGTAGACAGCTCTCCCCTCATCTACCCAGCCAGTCATGCCATTGAAGAAGTCTGTCAGGTTGGTCAAGCGTGATTTCCCCTTGGTGAATCCATGTTGACCGCTCCTGACCTTCTTTTCCTCCACATGCTTAGAGATAACAGCCAGAATGAGCTGTCCCATCACCTTTCTGGGGATGGAGCTGAGGCTGATTGGCCTGTAGTTTCCTGAGTCCTCCTTCTTGCTGTTTTTGAAGACTGGAATGACATTGGCTTTCCTCCAGTCCTTGGGCACCTCTCCTGTTCACCATGACCTGCCAAAGATGGAGAGTGGCTTAGCAATAACATCAGCAGTATCACTGCCTTTATTCCTTTCCTCACTCTGAGACCATCCTTTCTCAGAATAAGGTATGGGCAGATTTTGAATCCCTCCGTGAGTTACCAGCCTGTTCCTTAATTCCCCCGCTTCTAAAGTCATCCCTGATTCATGATTTAATAAAGAGCATATATGTTTAAAGGACAGGGTCACCCTTATGCTTTCTCCCAGTTTCCATTCAGTGCTTGCTGGGAGTTCCATTTAATTAAGTCCATTCATGACCTAGCTTTCTTTGTCTAACTCTCACAGGTAGTCTTAGCTTCCACATGACTGAAGTGATGAAGCTCAGCTGTATTATGTTTCAGACTTTGCCATCCTAGGCCAGAGTTAAGGGTCTTGGATTTTTGTCACAGAAAAATGAAAATGGGTTTCTAACTATATGAGCATGGTGCAAGCAAAGTAAGTTAGATTCATACAGCCACATTAGCTTTCTGAAAGCTTCTTTGTTTTGAGGACTGTTCTTCTGTTTAAAATTACAAGACAGTTACATGCAACAGCTTATTCATATGACTTTTTGGTGGGGAAGATCTTTCTCATTGGTGGAGACTTCCAGAAAATGGCTATTCAGTCTGTCTTAATTTTTTTTTTTTCCCCCCAAGATATTTTGTCCACTTGAATCTCGTAGTCTGTCTGTCTTGATGCTTGCTTTTGACCTTCTAGAATTCTGTGTTGACAAAAAAAATAAGGACTTGTTAGGCTTGCTTAGTCCTTGAATCCTTGCGAAGTTGGTGTGAGGGCGTAGAGGGAGAAAGCATGACTCCTACAATTATTAGTAAATTAAAATAATTGAGATTTTGTGAGTACATGCACCTGGAGTGAAACCTGTGTAGGTAAGTTTTATTCCTGTATGAGATAACTGCTGTTGTCACTGCTGTTACTGTAAGGTAAGTGACATTTTTTTTTTTTTTTCTGGTTTGTGGGAATAATTTTTGAGCCTCTTCTTGACTTTAAAAAAAGTCTTTATTTCCAAAGTGTATTTTTTCATGTAACTAGTCTTAAGATGCAAGTGTAGATTAACATGAATTGATTTTCTTAGTAATTTAAAGCTTTTCTCATTTAAATAATCGGATAACAAAAGCCATGCTAGTGATTTATTCCTTATGTTATTGTACTGTGCATTTTGTAGAGAAAAAGACATTACTGGAGACTGGACAGCAAATGCCTCACGCTATTTCAAAATGAGTCTGGAACAAAATATTACAAGGTAATTAATGAGGAGTATAATTGTGTTGCACTTGATTTACTCAATGCATTGTAGATCTGAAATCTACTTGTGAGCAGTATAAGTATTATGTCCATTTCCTCATCTTTTTTAATGAAAACTATGACCAGGTTAATTGGCCAAAGCTTGTAAGTGTGAAGGACCAAGACTAATTCTGAGAAGTTGCTTTCAGCTCCTATTCTAATCCCTTTGAGTATGTCTCTCCTTACATTTTATGTGTACTGTTCTCCTGAATGACCTAGCATATTAAGCTTCACAATTATCAGAGGATTTTTTTGGCTGCCAGTCTAATGAAGGTTAGGATTTTTGTGTTCTATAAGTAGTGACTGAAAGTTTGCATGCTTATGTATTTTATTTTGAGGTTCCTAAAATTAAATTGTTCCCAACTGAAAGTTGCAAGCAAGATTTAAAGGAAGATTTACTGCGCAGCCTGGTGTTACATAAATGAAGCTTAGCAATAAGTTTAGTATATTGTTAATATAATAATATGTTCAATGGTGGAATATGCAGAAAATGTGTTTGAATGTATAAACAGGACTTTTCCCTTTCTTGTCTTACACCTTTAGGTGGGGTCCAATTCTTGCAGCTTCTTCCTTTATAACATCTCTAAGATCAAGCCTTTTCTCTGTACACCCAGCTAAACTTGCCCAGATCCTTTTCATCCCTATCTTGAGCAATGCAGTCTCTTCTCAGACCTCTCTGATACTTGTATTGCCCTGTGCATTCAAAACACAGCTGGTAAAATATGTTCCTTGCTTGTTGCTCCGTTATGTCACTGCTTTTAGTCCTTTGACTTGCCCTTTTGCACTCCTTTCTTTAACTGCTCAAATCTCAGGTTATTTGTCTTTGCTGTTAGAGTCATTCACAGGTTTTGCCTTTACATTTATTTCCTCTTCATCTTCATTAGCTACTGTCTCTTATCCCCCTAATGCCAGCCTGATGTTCACCTGCTTGTTCACTACTCTTGCAAGTGATGTGCTCCCGTACACCTTCCCATGTATGTGGAATGTCCTCCTCCAGCTAGTGTGAACTTGCAACCATTTCTTCCTTCAGATCTGTTCTCTAGTACTGCTTGTACCATGATCTTAAACTGACAAGGTAGAGGATTCAGTAGAAACTGTTAATATCTGTATGAAAGAGACTCTTTACCCAGAACAATTCAGATACATGAAGCAGTGCTTGTTGTCTAGCTTAAATAACCCCATCTTCTTAATGTTGTCTTGTTTCAATTTTTTCCCCTGTCGTGTTCTTCTTTAGCTAAGCTGTATAAACTACAGGGGGAAAATGGTCATTCTGTAGTTGTGCATCATTTGTATGTGGTGGGAGCATGTCTCATGCTGATATAAATGCAGTTTGAGTAGAAAATAGTAGTTGTATAGAGAGAACTGTGGTGGGGCTGGAAGTCTCTAGGCTTGTATAGAGGAATTCAGAAAACTGTGGGTGGGCAATGGTCATGCACAGTTCGACAGTAGTTACAAAGCTTGGTGTTTTGATTTTGGTATTTTGATATATTTGCTTTGATTTGTTTGCGAACACTTTGAGTATCAATATATTAAAATACTATGTGTGTTTTCATTTTTAAATCTTTAATATTTTTCTTCAGGAGATTCCACTTTCAGAAATTCTCCAGGTGACTCAGCCTCGAGATTTTTCAAACGTGGTGCAGGGCAGCAACCCATACTGTTTTGAGATCATCACTGACACGATGGTGTACTTTGTTGGCGAAAACAATGGCAGCAGTCATCACAGTCCTGTTCTTGCTGCCACCGGAGTTGGACTTGACGTAGCTCAGGGCTGGGAGAAAGCCATTCGTCAGGCTTTGATGCCAGTCACTCCTCAAGCTAGCATTTGCACTGCTGCAGGACAAGGAAAAGATCACAGTAAGCAGGCAGACAAGGCACTGTTATTCATATTCTGAAGCTGTTAATGGTAGAGATTCCTTTCAGAAAAGTGCTTATTTAGAGTGAAGTATTGTCTGTCTATTCTCTGCTGAATTGGGTCTGTCATTTTCCAGAAGTCTCTAAAATATGACATTCAGGTTTGTGGAGGGTGGGCAAATCCTTTAATCTGTTGTAGCAGGAAGTAGTAGTTAAGAATCAGATTTACAATATGAATGCATATTGCGGAGCTTTATTGTAGGGGCATTAAGGACTCGCACATAGTCGTTGGATGCGAGAAGGGGCCATAGTTTAGATTTTTCTAAGATACTTAAATAAATAAATATATTCAGATTATATACATACACTCTGAAAAAACTAAATTTGGATGCTATTTGATGTTATCCTCTATATTTTTTTTTAAATGTCTGAGATGTCAGTAACTAGGGAGAAGAAAAGGAGCTTGTGATACAACGTAAATACTGACAGTGATTTTTCATCAGTTCTTTTCAGAACTTTTGCTGAGCTGTGGGTAGTAATAGAAAGTACCTTATTCTTCTTTTTATGCACCTGCCCTCCCTTTCTTTCTCTGGCATAGGATCGTATTTGTTATCAAGGCTCCACTAAACTATATATTGTGTTCTTTCTGTAGATGTCTCGTTGTTCCTTGCAATGACATTCATTCACATTCTGTACAGAGATTTATGCTTTCATTCTTTAGTTTCCTTTCATCGTCCAGCTACTCCTTAATCTTCTTCTAGTGAAATTTTCTTTTGCAGGAGATTCTGAGTTTAGTTTCTCTATCTCTGATATCTGGCTGCTCTGCATCAGCAACAGTTAGAAGTATTTAAATGCTAGTCTGAGGTAAAGGCTTTTTCTGAAAATGCAACCATGGTCTGAAGTGGTAAACTATGAAATGCCAGTACGGGTATCTGTATTTAATTACAGTGAAGAAACATACCTGTAAGGTGGTACCTCATAACTGGCCTTATACGTACATAAAATGCCGCTTTTGATATTAATTTCTTGGCTCCAAATATGTATGTACACCAAAGCTCTCTTTGTTTTCTAGAACCTAAGGCTTACTGTTGCTGAGAGACTTGTGAGGACAGTTGCTTTTTCCACAATCAGTATTTTTTCACATAGAAATAATATTTTTATATTAAAACTTGACAGTGGTAGAGAATAGAGCTGCAGGGGTAGATACAGAGAGGAAGTGTTTCAGCATGTTTAGGATTGTAGGAGTATAAGAAACTACTATGAGTTGTGGAGTGGCATTTGCATATTCTTAGACAACTCAGGTTGATTTTTAAGCTCTAAAAAGTCTACAGAATGTCTGTTCATCCCTCCTCTTCCTACACATTGTGATCCATGAAATGTATCCCAAGATCTGTGAAGAAAATGAGGTTTTTAGTTAAACAAACAAAGCCCCAAAAGCCTCAAATATATTCTTTCAAATGAAAAGACCAGAAGAGGATGGTGACATTGCTAGTGCTTGAAATACTTGCAGCAGCAGGGAATTTGTAGTGTTAAAATGTCCACAAGACACTAGCTAGTCAATTTATACCACATTCTGGCCAGAAAGTAACTAGAACTGAGGATGCTCTTCCAATCTGACCCATAGGAAAAAGTCCTTTCTGACCTTGTGCCTGGTGGTTGGGGTGGCGTGTTTATTTGTGGGATGTTTCTGGGCTGAAATGAGAAAAAGATTAGTAAGCTGTTACCTGGTATAGATTACATATTGAATCCTGGCATTGCCAATTTCTTCAGAAGTAACAGTTTTTCAGCCCTTAGTCTTATGCATTTCAGACACTAGAAAAAATGGTAGGTAGAGATGGAGTTACTCCTTCCAAATAATTCAATTTTTCTATTTTGTCTTTTGTGCCATCTGTGGAGAAGGGTTCAGTGTGTTCTCTTTAAACAGTTTCAAAAACTGTATCTTCACTTTCTAGTTATCTTGTTTCAACTTTGCTGCAGTTTGTGTTAACCTTAGTAACTTTTTTGTCTGCCTTTCTTGTTTTTCCGTGTGTTCCATAGTGTTATTCCAATACAGACTTGACAATAGTCAATAATCAGTAGGTATATGCCAGGCTGTAATTCCAGTTCATATTCAAAGTGTCTTTGAGAACTAGTTTTTGTTGCTGTCTTAAGTCTGTCAATTCTTTCTTTGAGATAAAGCAGAGATGGCAAAAATCAGATACAGACGTTTTGTTTTTCTCTGAAATTGAGTTTTTAAAGTTCAAGGCTCTTAGGGTGATAAAGGCTCTTTTCAGAGTGCTACTAAATCTATAGTATATCTTCTATCCACCTTGTAGGTGAATTGGTTCTACTTTTTTTTTTTTTTGGAAGTTAACAAATCATCGATGTCCATTTGTCTGCGAGGCTTCACCTCTGTCTTGGAAGTCAAAGGAAAGGGGTGTTTTCTGCCTGCCTTGACATATCTCTTCTTATCGTAATGTCATTCTTGTGATGAAAACTGTGTCAGCATCTGCTGCAGGGTGAAAAATCCTGTATTTTTATCTGGTGCTTTTACTTGCAAATTACCCTTCTTAGATGTGCTCTTGTATTCCAAAGATTGATGTGCTTCTGTAGTTTTATCTGTGAAACAAAGATTGTTTATATTATGGGGTTTACTACTTTTTTTAATTATCAGGTCTTCCATTACTTGCTTTGCTTGATTTGTTTCCTTTTCTTATGCATTAATTCTGTGTATCTTGATACCACAGAAAATTAGTAACCATGTTCATTTGGCTATAAGGGATCTACTTGGTCTTTTTCCCTGTATTTTTCTATATTACTATCAGAAATTCTTAGTAGTGTAATGAACTCTGATACAATTGCCACACTGCTGTTGCTTCTGATTCTCCAGCTCTCTACTGTGTACACACTCATACTGTTCTACTGTTTTTGGAATCAGTGATATGACTAAAATAGACAAGTAATCCCAGCAAAACTCCCAGGGTTTTTTATCTAATCAGTGTGTTAAATTGGAGTTCCAGGGTGTGATGTTTCTGCAGAACATCGATAAAAGTTGTTTCAGCATGACTGGGTTGGAAGTCAGTAAGGATTTTTTGGTTGTGTTTGGTTTTTTGGTTTTTTTTTTGTTTTTTTTCCCCCCTTTTTACTAGAAAAAGCCTGCTCTTCCTATTTACTTACTCAGTTATATCTTCTTTATTGCAGAAGAGTTATCTCTAAGCATCTCTGTTTCAAATTGCCAGGTCCAGGAGAATGTGGTGAGTCATGTGCATTGTATAACAGTAGTGTTTATTTATCTGGGTATTACAAAGTAATTGGTAGTAATGGTGTCCGGATGAGAAAGCAACACCCAGGGTATTGTAGCTAAAGAATCACAGAATCATAGAATGGTTTGGGTTGGAAGGGTCCTTAAAGATCACCTAGTTCCAACCCCCTGCCATGGGCAGGGACACCTTCCACTAGACCAGGTTGCTCTAAGTCACATCCAACCTGGCTTTGAACACTGCCAGGGAGGAGGCAACCACAGCTTCTCTGGGCAACCTGTGACAGTGTCTCACTGCCCTCACAGTAAAGAATTTATTCCTAATACCTAATCTAAATCTCCCCTCTTTCAGTTTGAAACCGTTACCTCTCATCCTATCACTACCTTCCTTGGTAAAGAGTCCCTCCCCACCTTTCCTGTAGGCCCCCTTTAAGTACTGGAAAGCCCCTATAAGGTCTCCCCAGAGCCTTCCCTTCTCCAGGCTGAACAACCCCAACTCTCTCAGCCTGTTCTTGTAGGAGAGGTGTTCCAGCCCCCTGATCATCTTCATGGCCCTCCTCTGGACAGAAGTCTGTGTTATATACAGGAAGTAATCTACTTACCTGGCAGAGCTGTAGGTTTGTATGAATCTATGCAGCTAAGTCAGTCCTCTTCAGGAAAAGTTTCTTGTGTTTTTCCACTCCATTCGGTGTAATGATGGGACCCTTTACAGAGTTTGATAAATGTCAAATGTAAATGCAGCTTAGCCAGTACTAACTAATAAGCTTGTGAACATTTTGATTACTCCTGATATTTGTGATTTCTTTTTTTCATGCATTAGGATATCAGCTCTGTGTACCAAATATTTGCTGATGAAGTTCTGGGTTCTGGTCAGTTTGGTATTGTATATGGAGGTAAATTACATTAGATTCCATTATGCATTTATGGTAGCATATCCGTCTTGATATAACTAGCCTTTTTGTAACTACTTAGCTATATCTAGAATGTCTAGGTGAAGTTTACCTTGTTAAAAGTTTTTTTTTTTGGATTACTTTACTTATCTCTGCAGTTTTATGTACAGTATTTCCTGCATTTGAATTTTTTGAATTTAGAGTTTTGCATTGGCATCAAAATTGGTTTAGAATATGCATTGCATTTTGACCACAGTTGAGTACAAAGCAATCTCTGGTCTGAATTTGGCCTTCGTTAGTGCTTTGGGCTTTTTTTAAATTGCAAATTCTACACTGTTGTCTGTATTATACAGTATTAGAAGTCGTGTATTTAAGGAGGCTGTCAATTACACCTGTTTTTAATGATATTTGAGAGGTGTGGCCAAAAGCAATTAGAAAAATGTATTTTAGTTCAAGGTTTGACAGTATTTATGCAAACATATTATTGACATATCTTATGCAGTTTGCTACGAATTTCTGTCAGTAGGATAAAGTACAAGGAGGGATTATTTGTCAATAGATCTGAGTTTAAACTTCAAATGTAGTCTTATCACTTTTAGTTTTTTAAAACTTCTGTTGCAAGATACAACTTGTTCATCGTGTGTAATCACAAAAAGAAGAAATACTAGAAATACATCATATGAACTCTGTTTCTCTCTATTTTTTTTCTTTTTTTTTTTTAAATCACATGTGTTATATCTGAAGTATTGAGAAAACCACAGACCATAAATCTGGAAAGAAAGAAAAAGTGATAACTAATGATTTAAAGTGGTAACCTTTCTGCTTCTGTCATATTGTCTCTCTAGTCAGGAAGTTTTGTGGCTATGATTTTTCTGTGTGCCACTTGTGTAGTTAAATACTTTTCTCTGTTACTTCTGAACTGCTTGATGAAAATGCAGTTTGATGGTCTGGTTTTACATCACTCTTAAGAGAGATCTATTTTTTTCCCCTCAGTATTTCTTAAACCATATTGTAAATCAAACTATGCTTCCTCTCTTTTGAATAGAACATGCAAAAATGCAGACAGTATTTTAAAGTTTTAATTTTTTAATTAAAATTTTAATTTTTTTAATTGTTTCTATATATACTCTCCTAAATTGCCTTTTAGATAAATCTCAGCTTGGTATTTTTCATGAGTCAATGCTTATAAATGCATATAAACATAATAAATGCTTATAAAAGGCTTTTATTATATTAATTTTTTTCAGTTAATGATGCCTTAAAATATACAGGATGTGCATACTCAGTTTCACAAGATAAAATTGCAAGCTGAAAGAGCAAGAAAAGAGAATATAAAAGAATATTCTTTTGCTGGCTCTGCACACTTGCTTAATTGTTGCTGGTGTTTGAGGAGACTAGATCTGGTAACTTCTAATATTGGCTTCTCCCCACTTGTGTATGATTACTAAAATGATGGTAACAAAACCTTTAATTTAAACAAATACAGGTAAAATTAAGTTGCTTCCATTGTTGTGGGGTTTGGGTTTGTTTTTTTTTTTAGTGTTGTCTATTCTTGACAAACATTTACAAATTTTAAATCAAGAAGTTATAGGATATTGATTTCCATCTCCTGTTCCTTTCAGTGAGAACAGTTTCCTGCTTTTTTTTATTTCGGTTAGTTTTGAAGTGTCTGGAAAACGGCGACAGAAAAAAAATTATTGACATTTTCTCACTGATGTAAAACTTGCCTGTTGGTTGTGTTTTACTTAGGAAAAGGAATTTTCAACTTGCTTTTCTGTTAAACTTTCTTCAAATTTTAGCTGTAGTCTAGCTTCTGTAGTTAAGTGTTTCATTAGTTTAGTGGTTTGCTTTATGTTCCCCTGCAACCTAGCGTTTGCCTTCTGGGTTATAGCTGGGTGCTGTGATTTTGAATATTTTGCCTAAAAATTGTTGATTCGTTACAGACAAAATGACACACTTCCCCAGAACTCTCTTTTAAGACTTCTGGCTTTATGCTGTTGCCTGTGATAGTCCATTATGCAGTGTATGCTTTCCTTAGAACTAGTGTAGTCTTTTCAAAATTTATTTTTCGCTCTCCAATTGTTAGTTCTATTTGGTAACCTTGTAAACCCTTTTGGACCTTGAGTGATGTCTCTATAAACTGCCTTACTTCATCCAGTGGCGATAAGCCTGGTTTTGACCCTTTGTTCATGATGATGTTTAAGGCAGGTGCATTAGTTGCTTGGTGCAGCAGCCTTTGGAGCAATTCCTGTGCCCTGCCTAAGCCCTGGCTACCAGTACTGACTGCAGAGCCGCAGGTGAGGCCTGGCTGGGTGGTTAGCGAGGCATAGCTGGGCTCCCCGTAGCAGTGCCAGTGGAGTCCTCTGTGCCGCTTGCATCATACGTTTTCCTAAAATGGCTTCCAAACCCTTCACTGAGGAGATAATTACTTTTTTTCCTTTGGTGCACACTTACTGTTCTATGTGAGTTTAGTATTAAATGTCTTCAATTATCAAGGTCTTGCAATGTGTGATCCCATTAACCCTTCTGATGTGAGTGTGATAGAACTCAGTTTGGCAGTTGTGGAGAAGCTGGGTAAGCATTTACAACCACTCGTTTAGCCCATGAAACACCCTATCTGTGTACTGAGGAATGCTTCTCTTGTAGCTCATGCAGGTTATAGCAAGGAATAGCATCTGGTGCTGTCATCATGGGGTTTTTTTGCTTACCACAACCTTTTAGAGCTTTTCAATCACAACAGACTGTCTGTGGGTGTTAAGGTGGTGTTCTTCATGGCACATAATTACTCTCACATTCCTGTAGAGTATTAGGTATGTAATTTCCTGTGCACGTGGAGCCCATGAAAGTATGAACCCACTGGAGAAGACTTGTAGATCTTCACATTGGTCTTGAATGGTTTTGTTGTTGTGTTTTTACAGAAGAGAGGCAATATTCTGTGCGAGTAGGTATTACTTGCTCATGTGCAAGTTCCTTGCACAAACAAAAGCTTCACCTGATACATCTGGATGTCAATGTGCTTACCTGACAGCAGAGTAGTACTAGTTTAAATTTATCTACAGCACTCCTGTTGAGGCTGATCACTTCTTGTTACTCATGTACCAGTTGCAATTTTAAACATAAATATAGTAATATTGTGCAATTGTACACAGAATATACTTGTTTCCCCAAAAAGGAACTTCTGCTTTAATGATTTCTAGCTATTAATTGCTTCTACCTCTTGATGGCTGACATTGAGTTTTTGTTTAGGGAAACACAGAAAGACTGGAAGAGATGTGGCTATCAAAGTCATTGACAAGATGAGGTTTCCAACAAAACAGGAAAGTCAGCTTCGTAATGAAGTAGCCATTCTCCAGGTACAAAAGTGTTTTCCGACCACATTGGAGTTTTGTTTCAAATAAGCCATTAATGAGATTTTGTAATGTGTGTAAGTGCTCTGAATGGATTTCTAAATCTGCACCTGTGATTTCTGAGTCTCTTTGTAAGAGGGAATCTTAAAAGAGCAGGATTTCCTGAGTATTTGGTAGAGTTGATAGCTTGGGGGTGGTATCTACCCCCTATAGGGGATCCACTGAAGACATGTACTTTGGCTCCATGTTGTCTCCCTCAGATAGCAGGAAACTATTATTTTTTGCTGTCCTCCCCTACTGCCTCCTCAATCTGAGTGTTATTCTTGCATGTCCTGTACTGAAGCTACTTGGTGTATCAACTGTAAAATTAATCATTATGGGTAATTTGTGTTAAAACAAATCAGTCTTAGTATTCATAACTGGTATGTTTCATGGGTTGATGTTTGTTTTAAGCTAGTTTCTTGCCTCGGACATTTTGGTTTTGCATCTCTTAACTCTCTGCTTAACTGCTTTTTGATTTGTGGTACAACATTTCTGTGTAATTCAGGATACTTCATACTGTTTTATTTTAGTGATGTACGTATACTACTTTATTTTAGAATTTGCATCACCCTGGGATTGTGAACCTGGAATGTATGTTTGAAACCCCGGAACGGGTCTTTGTTGTGATGGAAAAGCTGCATGGGGATATGCTAGAGATGATTCTTTCCAGTGAGAAAAGTCGACTTCCAGAACGAATAACTAAGTTCATGGTCACTCAGGTTGGCATTAAGTCTCTCTACTTTGAGAGGGAAGGCTAGATTTATCTTTAGTAATTATATGAGAATGGAGTTTGGAGAAGAGGTTTTCTGTATTGTTATTTAAAAGAGACAGCACAGAGAGCTGCGCATCTAATGAAAGTTGAATAACCATGGAAAGAATTTTGAATTTAATTATGTTAATTCTTTTGCTCTTCTTTCCCAAGACATAACATTGTGGACATCCAAAGATGCACGTCAGAACAGTATGCATTCAAAAAGACACACAGGGAGGAGGGGGATGGTGGGGGGAGAGAGAAAATAAACCCCGTCAGTCTTGATAGTCTGGGAAAAATAGTACTTGCACAGTATACACAGATTAATTCTTGATGACTCTTTTGATACAAATTACTGTATTGGTTACTGCGTTGTGGCTTTTGACACTTCTGATCCGCTTGAATAGTGCTGAAAATGTTCTTTCCTTTTTGTAGATACTTGTTGCTTTGAGGAATTTACACTTCAAGAATATTGTGCACTGTGACTTAAAACCAGAGAATGTACTACTAGCATCAGCAGAGCCATTCCCTCAAGTGAGTGAAGATTAAAAAAACTTATTTTGTAACTTTTCATTGTTCTTTTTAAAGAATTAATAGGCATTGCATCTTAAAAAGTGACCTCTTGTGGAATTGTTCAACTGACTTTGTCTAGAATTACTTGAACGACATGTGTTATAGTTGTCTTTTTTTTTTTTTCTCCTTCCAACTCTTAGCCTAGCTTTATGCTCAATACTCTGTTTCAGTTTCTTTCCCTTCAGACATGGATCATGTCTCACAACAATGCTGTGCACCAGCATTCTTTCTTCCAAGGAGCCTGAGAAGTACAACTGCTGCCAGCACTTAGAAAAAGGCTGTGTATACGGCATCTATTTTTATGCTTGTGAAGAGTGCATGGAAATTGGTATTCTGGATTAGTGAGACTATTTCAGTGGAAAAGGCACAGGACTGGAAGCTTCAAGACCAGTCCTCCTTTCTGTTCCAGTGCTGTTTGACCCTGGGAAACAATCTCTTCTCTGTGGTGCATCTCATTCTCTTCCTTACTCTTGTCTGTGTTGGTTATAAGCTGTTGTGAAAAGAGACTGGCTCATTTGTTGCTGGTCTTGCTTAGGGATCTTCATTGTCAGTATGTGTGATATTACTTTGCAATATAAACTAAAAAGCTAATTTCTGTAAGAGAAATGCTGTTCAGCAGTATTAGTATTTAGGTACTGTCAACACTTACCCCTGCCAACTATTACCTTAGATACCTTGGATGGTGTGGATTTTGTGGAGGACATAAGAAATTAGAAGCTGCTAGGCAGCATCAGGAAATTGCTTACAGTCCTGTGACATTAATGCAAAGTGGAATGGACTTCTGGAGTGTCACTTGTATGCCTTTAGTGCATTGCTCTTTCTTATACCCTGAGGAGAGCTTATTAACTTGGGGTTAGCATTGGACTTGATCTGGATCCTTTTCTCTGTACAAGTGCCTGCTGTGTTCAAGTTAAGGAACCATCCCAGAACCATGAAGGTTTGAGTGTCAGTGCAGGCACCAGCTGTTGATGCTTTTTACCGGGATGATTATTGGATTGTTCTGTCCAGAGCTGGCTGGGTCTGGGTTCTAGCTAAAACTCATAGTTTGATTTCTGTGTAGCTGAAGCCTCTAGCTTCAGGAATATTATTAAGAGGAACATGATCTGGCTGGGATTGATGTGCTTTTAAAATTTTGGTTCTGTGCCTTGTGAGGGTGTGGATTTGCCTCAGAAAATGATCTGAGTTTGGAGTTAAGTTTTTTGTCCTTATTTGCACACTCGTGACAGTGTACTACACAGACTGCCTCAGACCTGAGTCTGCAAGGCCAGTTCAGGTCTTGGTCTGAAGCAACATTGCTCTGCAGTCTGCAAAACCAGCAGCCTAAAACCTTAACTGACTGGCTTACCTAATGTTTCATCTCTGGTTTAGTGCATACAATGTTTAATGATGGCAGAAAGGGTATCAAGTACCACTCTGGTCTTGGGCAGCAGCATGCTTTCAAGCAGAGATTTCTCAGTTTAAAATGTATTTCTTTTGCAGGTGAAGCTGTGTGATTTTGGCTTTGCACGTATCATCGGTGAAAAATCCTTCAGGCGCTCTGTGGTGGGGACACCTGCTTATCTTGCCCCTGAAGTGCTCAGGAGTAAAGGTTACAACCGCTCTCTAGACATGTGGTCAGTAGGAGTTATTGTCTATGTGAGCCTTAGTGGTACATTCCCATTTAATGAAGATGAGGATATAAATGATCAAATTCAAAATGCAGCATTTATGTACCCACCAAATCCTTGGAAGGAAATTTCTAGTGAAGGTAAAGAAATTAATTTTTCTATTAGAATGTCTTTGTATGTAGATAACACATTCAAATGCTTAAACCTTAAGGTTCATTCAGATAGGAGTGTGAGAATTATTGATAGTTTGAGTTTAGTAGACTATGCCAGAACGGATAACTGTGAGCTGGCATATATTTGTGAAAGATAAATTGTCAAATAGAATGTTTTAGATAATTTTCAGGGCAGGAGCAGCCAACTGATTTAGCAAGGAAAAATAATTGCATGCGTGAGGAGTGGATGAATAACCTGAAACTTCCCAAAATTCCCAATAAAAAGTTAAGTCATGTGTGAGTATTTGCTGAATGCTTACAAGGTTGGTCTCTAGAGCTCTCCAGTGCCAGCTTTGTTATTAGTAATGTATATGTCATTAACCCACCCGTACATGTGGAAAGACATACACAAAAGCATACAATAGTGGAAGTACATCATTTTGGCACTTCTGAAAATCACTAAAATTTCTAGGGAGAAAGATTAACGAGTAATATAGTAAAGCTTTCACTGTTTCCATCACAGGAGAGGGGAAGCTTACCCCATATGTATTTTTTAGCCTCATTTAACATAAGCAAAGGTAAATAGAAAATTCAGGAGCTTGATTAAGTTTAAAAGAGTTGAGTAGGATATACACACACACATATGCACTGTTAAAAATTCACTTTCACTGCAGCATGTGATTAGTATTTAAACAATGTAATTTTTGTTCTGTTCTTCTTTGTCAGCCATTGATTTAATAAACAATTTACTTCAAGTGAAGATGAGAAAACGTTTCAGTGTTGACAAATCCCTTAGTCACCCATGGTTACAGGTAAACCTGTCTGCCTTTGTCACTATGTTTATAATGGGTGAATAATGATTTTTTTAAAATAAAATCCTTCAGAGGCTTATTAAAACTGCAACTGTCAAAGTCTGTAACAAGCGTTCATGGAGGCTTGAGTATTTGTTTTTAGCTTTGCATTTTATGTGCTCCAGGATTCTGCACATCTGTTAATGGCTTTTTTCCTCAAGGAAAATTTTGTCTTGCTGTCTCTCACACCCCTTACTTTCTGTTTGACACCAACATAGAGTTTTACTCTTCTGGCACCTTTCCTGAATGCAGGCAGTGATGAGTGCCTGGAGCCCCACTGAAACCAGTGTAGAGACAAACATTGTTCAGCACTGAAGCGGAAACACGAGCTGGTGTGTGCTGTAACTTGTAATTGCTTGAGAACAGAATTGTTTGGAAGGGAGTTTATCCACTGCTTTGACGCAGGTTCCTTTCACAATGATTTCACAACACTGTATGCACATACCCACGTACACAAACAACTTAAAAGATGTTAAGGGGAAAATCCAATTAATTTTGAGTCAAACAATATTGGAAGAGTGTAATTTCATGTATGTATATATATACAATTAATTTCATAATAAAGCTAACTTAGCTGTCTTGTTACAAAAAGTTTTCATGATTTACAGTATTACAACCTTAGAAACTAGCCTCTTTAATCTGGAACCATTCTTTGGGTACACTCTGGGTATTTTGGGGGCAGCCGTTTTGGTTTTTGGGTTGTGGGTTTTTTTTTTTTTTTTAACAGATCTCATTGATTATCTTTTGTGGCTATTTATACTAAAAGTAGAAACAAACTGCAGAATTTGAGTGAATGTAGTTCTGCTGTTTCTTAAACTGCTTCCTTAAATCTCCTTTACTGCTTAGGATTATCAGACTTGGCTTGACCTCAGAGAATTTGAAACACGCATTGGAGAGCGTTACATTACCCACGAGAGTGATGATGCACGCTGGAAAGAACATGCTTATGAACACAACCTTGAGTACCCGCAGCATTTTATTATGGCTCCTAATCCAGATGACATGGAAGAAGACCCTTGACTTATGCATTATGCTAAATTGCAGCAAAGAAGGATACTCCAAACAGAAACTGAAGATAAGTTTTGGAATAACTGTTGCTCTTTCTGAATGCTGTAGTTCAGTGTACAAAGCACCACCCCCCCACCCCCCCCAGAGGATCCTGCATTGACATGGGAATAGACTGTTGTCTGACAAGCTTTTCTTCCATCTCTGACTTAAATGAGGAGTAGTTACTGGACAGTGGGATAAGCCCCGTTGGGTAACATTTCACCGAGCTGTGTGGCTACAAAGCCATTACTGAGGTGTAATGTGTACAGATTGAATGGTTTGTGTTTTTCAAGGGTTTTTTGTTTGTTTGTTTGTTTTTCCATAGCCTGCACAATAAGAATTTTTGTAATAGTTTTCTAATCCCTATTTACTAGGCCATAGAGGACTGTTTTCTGTTACTTAGATACATCTCCCGTTTCTGTAACTGTGCATGGTGAAAAGAGACTGTAAAAAGAAATCGGTGCAGAATACCTTGGCTAATAGAAAACCACAGTGGTTTAGGTTGAATACAGCTTCATAGATGAAGGAATAATTTGCTGCTGTTAAGACAGTTAAATATGTGTGTCTTTGCCCTAATTGAACTTTTTCCAGATACCCAAAAAAGAGAAAACCCCTTAACTTCTTACATTCCTCTTGAAATGCTGGCTGACAATCTAAAGAGATGACAATCAAAGCTATGCTAGTTCTTTATTTTGTCTGTTAAAGCAGAGCAATAAGCCACAGCAGTGTGTTGCTGTGGACGGCTGGTAGATGTCATTGATACACACCAAAGGCATTTTGTCCTAAAACTACACAAGTAATGCACAGAGAGTACACACGACTTGATGTAGCATATGCTTTATCTCTGGAAAAACGGCTTCTAGCAGAAGGATGTGGAAGAGTAGGGAAAAATACATGCAGCTTTCTTCTGTTGTTTTGAGTAATTAGATTTTAAAATTTTTCTAATATTTTTCTAATTTGTTTTAAGGTTCCCTGGACTTAGATCAGGAGTAGTTTGTAGCCTGCTAGCTTGTATCTATCTTAACTGCTCAAAACCTAGGAGTAGCAGTGGACATCCAATCACCTGTTGCTTCTGCCAGGGCAGCTGGATTGTAGGAGAAAGGGCTTTGCCTTCTGACCTTAGCCTGCAGCCCTTCCCATCCTCTTTACTGTGCTCAGCGTTGTTGTTTGAGCTGAATGAAGAGTCCAAAACTAACTCCTAATTCAGTTTTTTTTATGCAGATGCCTCAGTTGATGGATTCCCAATTGCTTACTGGATTTGTGGCACAATAGAGAGGAAGCAGCAGTGTTCTTTGGAAATTATTCCCTCAGAGGACTGTGTTACAGTTAAAGTTCATGGTATTTCAAAGAAGTTTGAGGCTATGAATGCTAAATGCAAATGGAAGAGGGTTGTTTTTGCTGTATTTTAAAAAATGGAGAAGGTGAAATCTTTGCTTTTGCATGGGATAACAGCATTGTGCTGCTGGAAGGTGCTGAGTGGCTGTACATATTCCTGATGTGCCAAGCTGCTTAGCTGGAGCTTGGTTTGGAATGCTTTCTAAAATACTGATACAGGCTTGAACTGCAAAGTCAGTGAGAGGCTTTGGGTTATCTCCTCTCTCTCCTACAAAGATTTTTTCGTGTGTGTGTGTGTGTAGATAAGCATTTTTTTTTCTACTGTTGTTATTCAGGTAAGGAAGCAGGTGAGCAGACTTTTTCTAAGTTGTTAGATATACATAAAATTTTACAAGGTTTTTTCAGGGCTGGCAGCTGCTTGTGATGACAGTGACCTGGCACTAAAGTCAGTGGCAGTTGCAGAAGTATGTACCCACAGGTAGGTTTGGGTCTTTAACCCACCTTTTTTTTTTCCTGTCGCCCTTAATCTAACTGCCACTGTGTTTTGTAGGTATCAAGCTGTCAAATTTTGTGTAAGTTGGTAAAGGCTGAGCTCTGGCTTCCCTGGTAGGATACACCAGACGTTGTACAAAACGGCAGTGCCATCTGTGTGGCAGTTTCCTACAGCCGGCAGCGGGCAGGACGTTTCAGCCCTTCTGACCACCGCGTGTCCTCTCTCCTAGCACATGTTTTTCTCAGGCTTGTGCAGGGGACTTGGCTGATGGCAGTCCCTCCCGCTCCTATGCTGGCAGTCATCCTCCTGCTTCTATGCTGTCAAGGCAGTGCAAAGGAATTCAGAAGGGGTAGACTTTGTCCCTGAACCTTGTCCTCCTGTTAAGGCAGGGTTTAGGGACTGGTTCTTCAGAGAGGCACTATTTTTCATCTTTGGAACCAGAACAATCATCTACGAAGTTAGTGGTCTGGTGTTTGCCCAGGCTTGGCAAGGGAACCAGTGCTGTTTTTCAGCTTCCACTGCTCAAGTAACCAAACTTCAGTGAAGTCATTGCTATCTTCCATCCTAAGTGTAATAATGTAGATACAGTCTGGTTTTATACTTGAGCTGTCACTTCAGGTTTTCCTGCGGGTTTTTTTGTTGGTTTCTGTTGTTTTAAGGGAGGAAATAAAGCCAGCTCAGTCACTTGAAAAAGCACAGCACAAATAGAGGAAGGAGGGGACAACAATGAAGTAGGTGGCTTGGCTGATGTCTCTCCCCATGAAGTCTGCTCTGCTCCAAAATATTACATGAGCTATTTATACTTCAAGTTGTATTAAATATAAAATGCTGTTGGCCTTTGGAGGAGATTGCCTGACCATATACAGAGACTTATGGGGCCAGACAATAGAAGCCACAAGCAGCTAATAGTCGAGGAAGCAGAAAAATCAGACATACATTAGGAGTAAACTTTCTTCAGAGTAATTAAAAATAGCTGAGGTTTTTTTAATTCCCTTTTTTCCTGCCTTTACTGCAAACTTTGACAGCAGTAGGTTACAGTTTTTTAATATCCTTAACCTTAGATTAATTAAGTTGCGTTCATTCAAGAAAGTGCTATGATGATGCTAGAAAAAAGCTCATGTAAAATTTATAGCCTCAAAAGGACAGTCAAGTACTTTTATATTTTTATACATCCCATTGTTTGTAAATATCTTCTGATAAGCTTGAAAATAAAATTTATTTCCCTATCAGACTTGTTTCTGGGTTTTTTTTTTTTTTCACATGAATTATCTCTCCTATCAAATGTTCTTAGAAGTAAATTTTTTTTTTGTACTTCCACTTGTGGCTTTGTCATTAGATACGCCCTGCTGTGGGAATCCTGGTAGTAGGTGCTTTGAAACTAATAACTATTTTGCATCTTTCCTGTCACTATTTCTTTATAAAAATACCTTAAAAAAAATGTCAAGGCATCCTGTGTTTTAGGCAGGTACCAAAGCAGAGTACATTTGAAGTCTCCTTAGCACATCTGTTTGTTACTGACAAGGAACTTGATTCCACTAGCAAATACTTCACTCGGCTCTATCATAAGACTCCTGAAACATTGTTCATTCCCTGCTCTGTGCACGCTGCTTTCTGTATGTGCAGCGTTTGATTTCTACACATGCTGCTTCGAGTAGGTCAGTCAACAGGGTCAGCATGCTGCACTAGCTTTACTCCGAAATAGCATTCCCCTAACGTGTACATTAGTGTGAGAAAATTACCTGGAGAATTAATGTGACATTTCATGTGCTTTAAGTTCAAAGATAAATCAAGATGTTTAGTTCTTACCTTACTGTGTAGGAAGCTATATACTGATTACACTAGTGTAAAACATTTAGTATGTGAAACCATAAAATACAGGACTCTATTCCTTTGATTTTTTAAATTTATTTATTAATTAAGTTGCTATTGAAAGCTACTGCTGTCAGACATTTTGCTACAGTATTTGAAATTATTTCAGTAAGAGTTCACTAAACCCAGCCACAGGCGGTAAGGCAGACTTTGATTCTGGCTTATGTTTCTTTTCTGGATGTACCAGTCTGTGGTGAGGCAGCAGGGCAAAAAAGTTAAAACAGTCCCCCATCTTCTTGGGATTCATCAGCATATCATAGCTGTGAAGCAACTGCTCACAAGTTGCTTTGTCAGGTGAATTCTGCAAGAGCACCTAAAAACAAGAATGCAGGTTATAGCCCTTCCTGCTTTCCTAGAACCTCCCTCATACCTTCAATCTCTTGTTACATGCATCCTTTTCACTTACACTAATATAACAGCGCCATAATGTTCAACAGAACTGGTGAGATCCCTGGTGGAGCTCAAACATTGATATATGTAGCTAAGTTTTGATTTAAATACTCATAAATATAACACCTTGAGTTAACTCAAAAGTTCACTTTGAGGGATCCAGAGTAACTTATGTCTAGGAGAAGCAACTCTTTGATCTCACACCTACATCTTGTTTTGAACAACTTTATTTTAAAATCAGATTTTTGTAAAAGCTCTCTTGCTGCTTAAGAGTATTGCTGGTGGATTAGGAGAGTTTACATACCTGTAAACACTATCGTACCTGTAATCGGAGGTCAATGCCCATGTTTTTTAAAAACTCCCGCTGTTTTATGGGGCCTAATGTGGCTGTTCTTCCCTGTGTCATCTTTCGAAGATAGCTGAAATCAACATCTGCTGTCAGGTCTGCTGTACCTGGAGCTCTCAGCACATCGTGAAGTTTGTGGTTCTGGAAGCCCTGAAAAATTAAATTGGAAGATTGTACTCAGACCTAGCTACCACAGCTGGGGCTAGCAAAGACTGAGTTGTGCCTGTGAAGGGTAAGAATAGCAAATTATACTTTTGAGATAAACATAGGATGGGCTCAGATTACCCTTCTCCTCTGACAGAAACCCTTACGGGCACTGATTAAATAAGAACTCAAATACTCAGTTTTATGATTGCAGCATAGTGCAGTTTTTGCTGTTATCTCCACCTAAGACCCTTCTCTTGGAAGAGCCTAATGATCCAATGGACAAACAGAAGATTATAACAGAGTGTTTTAGCTTATTGTTTCAGTGTAAAGGGCTCACCCGGAAAGTGTCAGTTTTGGTTCCATCATGACCATAATCAGCAATCAGTGCAGCCCCACCATCTTTTTCTATACGACAGGCAAGCCTCTGAATGATGATGCCAGCCTCAGGACACACTTCCACATGATCTCTCATTTCTTCAGGCTAATGCAGAGTTCAAAGATCAA